TTTCCCACCCTTCTTTAACCTAGAACCCTTGAAGGTCAATGGATAAAGAGCTTAGTAAAATGACCTGTGTCACCTTCATGGTCTCTTTCCTCTGGATAACTCAGCTGAGAGTCCTCGGTTATCTTTACCTGTAAGGTGTTGGGGGTGTCAATGAAGAAACCAGCAAGGAGTGTGGAGGGGGATATCAATTCAGAATTCAGTCCTGGGTTTTCCCCAGGGCTAATAATGATTTACTTTAGCCTGGCAACTTGCCCTGGGCAGCAAGGGCCAGTATAAACAGCATGTGTTGCTGGTTCTGGAAGAGAGACAGAGGAACTTGGACCCTGTTATTTGAGAGCTCATGCTTGGATGGAGGAAGAGAAGAAATAAAGTTCTTCCAAACTGTGTTTTTCAGCCATGAATGGGTATGAACAGTTTAATCAATACTTGTAGAGAACTTCTCATGTCCTCTGACTTGTGTTAGGATCTGTGGCCCACATATAAATCAGACATGCTCCCTGCTTGCAAGGAACCACAAATATAAGACCGACAAGCTTGATGGGATGTGGTTAGTGATAAGCCTATGATGTAACAGAAGCATAAAAGAGAGGTATGCACTGGATGTAGGTTTCCTAGAGGAGAGAACACCAAAGCCAAGGAGTTAGCGGGAAAGAAAGCAGCCTCACAGGCCAAAGAACCACATGAACAAAGGTGTGGAATGTGGCAGGGAAAGGGCAGGCAGTTGATGGTGTTACTAGAGCATGAAGAGCAAGATGGGAGGGGGACGTATAGGGAGATCAGGCCGAGAGGCAGGGATTACTGGGGGGAGGGGCAGATAATGCTAAAGAGCAAAGTATTCTGAGCAGGGAAGAGGGAAGTGCCTGGGAAGATCTGCATTCTAGATACATCACTGCAGGAAGGATTTGGGGAGGTGGAGCCAAGATTGGAGGCAGGGAACCAAGTGGAAGAGATACTGAGTGCCTGATGCAAGGTATTCATAAGCAGAATGGAGGGCATGTGCTGGAGAAATAGCCAGGCAGTGGGCAACGGAGATGGAAGAGAGACGCAAACACTCGGGGCTCCTGGGTTTCTGGTTTGGTACCTGGGTGGATAAAGGTGCCATGAACTAAGAAATACAGAGAAAGGAAACAAAACTGGGATGGAGATGCTGATGATGACCAATATTTATTAATCACTTATATGAATCAGGCACCATGCCAACAGTTTTGCATGCATCTTCTCAGAACTCGAACTCGATGAAGTAGGTCTTATTCTTATTCCTAATTTACAGATAAGGAAAATGTTGAATAGCTTAGCCAGATCAACACAGCTGGTAGAGTGGTTAGAAACAAAACATCCTCACTCCAGGGCCACTGGTCTTAACCATCAGGCTTTATGTGTGTTTGTATGTGATGAGTCCACAGCTCCCACAGTGGGGAGGTCTGGGCCAGAGATATAATTAGGGGGGTCATCAGGGTCCACTTCATGGTAAAAACCCTGTGACTCAAGCTCAGTGCCCTGGGGAACTGATGTTAAAGAAGCAGCCAGAAGGTAAAGGGCCCCAAAAGAGACCAAAACAGAAACAATCCCCTATGATTTTTAAATCAGAGACCATCATTCCGCTCTCCAGGCAACAGAAAACTGGGCAATCATGAACAGTATAGCGGTATCAAATAAAAACATCTACCAAGTTAAGCTGACATATTAATTACAACAGTTACTATGTGCCATAGTAATTATCCTAAACAGTAAGCATTTTACATAAATAGCAGTAATTAGTACAGCACAAGTTTCCCAAACTGTATCCTGTGGAAGAGTACTTCCTGAAGATGTTAATAAATGTTTGGATAGTAAAGGGTCTTGGAGTCAGATAAATTTAGGAAATGCTGGTATAATTTGGAGAGAGAGCCCAACCCCTGGTTTATACTTTTCTCTTTCTCTATTCACTCTTAGACTCACTCACTGCTGTCAAGTCGGACCTGACTCATAGCGACACCCCTTGGGTTTCTGAGGCAGTATCACTACAGAAGTAGATTACCCAACCTTCCTTCCAAGGAGTAGCTGGTGGGTTTGAACTGTCAGCCTTCTAGTCAGCAGTCAGATGCCTTAGGCACTATGCCACCAGAGCTCTTTCTCTATTAGGAGGCAGTAATGGCTAAGAAACAGACTGGAAACAGTCTGGGCTTGAATCCTGGGTAATCTGGGGCAAGTTGCTGAACTTCTCTAAGCCTTAGTTTCCTCATCTGTATAACTCACTGCCATCAAGTTGATTTGACTTATAGTGACCTCTCCTTGGGTTTCCAAGGCAGTATCTCTATGGAAGTAGATTGCCCAGTTTTCCCTCCAAGAAGTGGCTGGTGGGTTTGAACTGCCAGCCTTTTAGTTAGCAGTCAAATGCCTTAGGCACTACGCCACCAGAGCTCCCAGCACAGACTGAGGGCTCTATAAATATGTTGTTATTATCTATAAGCCATCCTATTGTTAACAAGTCTCCCTGATATCCTACAGAGTTTAATCCTTGTCACACACACGTATGCACATGCACACACATCACACGTCACCCACAGTTTTTAATTCGGAAGTCGTGGCTTTGATTCTCTGTTCATTGAAGTTCACTGTTCCCCCACCGCTGCCCCCTACAACCTAGGACTGGAAATCACAGAGCTTTCACCCTACTTCACTTTAGGGCAGGGGACTAGGGAAAGGGAAGATTTAATGCGCTGGCAACATGGCCTTTGAAGAGCCATCTCTAGTTCATAATCACCTTTGTGCACACTCTAAAAAGGGTGGACACTGTCTGGACCAGGGCACACAGCTTAGAGCTCCCACTTGCCTCCTTGTTTGGATGCCCTTGTGCAGTGACCAACCTATGCAACCATACCCAGCAGTTTTGACCTTCAGGTCCTGAGGAAGGAGCTGGAAGCTAATGATCATTGGAGACACTAGGTACTGTCTCCCTTTTTCCCAGAAGTTCTTGAGACTAGGTCTCCACAAGCACTGTTGTTGTTGTTATGTGCCGTCGAGTCGGCCCCAACTCATAGCAACCCCTCCTTGGGTTTCCGAGGCAGTATCACTATAGAAGTAGGATTGCCCAACCTTCCTTCCGAGGAGTGGCTGGTGGGTTTGAGGCTGGTGGGTTTGAGGCTGGTGGGTTTGAACCGACAGGCTTCTGATTAGCAGTCAAGTGCCTTAGGCACTATGCTACCAGAGCTCCCACTAGGTAGGAAAAACATCCTCTTCTCTCCCCACCCCTTTCATTCCCACAGAGGCTGACCTCAGAATACCCTTTGGCGTCAGCAGGTAACCCAGGCCTTCCCTGTTTTTCTGAAATCTCCTTAATTATAGTTGGGAGATGACAGTTTTGGAAAGTAGAAGCAGGGAGGGGATGACTTTCTAGATTTCCCCTGACACATAATAAGCACTAGATTATGATGCCCCTAACCAGAGCAGGCCAGGGCCAGAGCAAGTCTGACCATGGCTTGGGTGAGAAAAGGAGAAAGGTGGCAATAAGAACTACCCCTGCCAGTTTGTCAGTCTCCACTCAGTGGCCCAAATGCTCGGCTTCCAATAAGAACTCTCACTATGCTTTTCCAAACACACTTCGTATGTGAAACATTTCCTGTTCTTTTCTGGGGATGAGTTGGCTGGAGGGGGACAGGCACACTCCCTGTGGCGTGCGCGCGCGCGCGCGCGCGCACACACACACACACACACACACACACTCTCTCTCTCTCTCTCTCTCTCTCACACACAGTCTTGCCTGGAAGCATCGCATTTCAACCTACAAGTGTCTAGGCTGACTTGTGATGTAGCAAGGGCTACATCTCTGTACCTCAGTGCCCTTCTTAATAAGTAAGGGATGATGTGGGTCGGGTTGGTTTGTAAGTCTCCTCACAGCTCTACCTCTGGAAGGTTTACTCCCTCCCCTTGAAATGTGACAGGTGAGGGCAGAAGCTCAGGTCCCAGGCTCATACAGACTGACCAGAAATGGCTTACTCTCATCTAACCCTCCCAAGGACAGCAGAGGCCTGTGTGACAAACACAAACCTTTTCACTATTTTGCTTTAGGGCCTGCACTGGTCACTTGGAAGAGAGATTCAAGCTGGGGCCCCAGCTGGGAGTTTAGGTCCTGTGGCCTTCAGGCTCAGGAACAAAGGCGGAGCTGGGAAGGGAAGGGGCCCTTCTTTCCCAGAGTGAGGGGAGGGGAGCCCCGGGCCGTTTATGCCTTTACCTCTCCATAGGGACTGGCTGTTTCACTCATTCTCAAAGACTGTCCCTCTCTGCCTGTCTTCTCCTTGAAGCTAATGACTTCACTCCCTTCCCCTTCCTTATCTTAAGGTTGGGATCTCCCTCCATCTCTTCCCTATCTGCTCTCTGGGTCGAAAATCTCCGTCTCCCTTCTTTATTCCACTTTAGGAGTGGGGTTTCCACTCCCCTCCCTCTCCCCCTCTCCCTGGCCTAGCCTCTTTATACTTTTTTAGGCCTAGACTCTCCAGCCCGGGGTTGAAGGGTCTACATTCTTTTTTCTTTTCTTAAGGCCACCTATCCCTGCCCCCACCCTTTTCAACGCTCCCTCTCCATCCTCACCCCCCCAGCCCCGAGGCATTGTGGGAGGAAACAAGATGTGGGGCGAGAGCGGCGCGGGGAGAAGCCCGCAGTGCGGGGCCTGGCGAGCGCAGCCAATAGCGAGCGCGGGCGGCGGCGCGCGCGGCAGGGAGGGGCGGGG